TTAAGATTTTTTACTTGTCTAATATATCTTAAACTCTTCCCAAATTTTATTAATTTTAAATCGAAAGCAATATTCATATTATTGTCAAAACTCTTTTTTATGAAACAAGATTCAATTATATTCCTGTCGACCATGGACTTGCTTGATACTACTTTCTCAACTTTTTGAAAATCAATTGGGTGGTTAAAATCTCTCACATGAATAAATAGAGCATTGGAATCTTGTCCAGTTCTAATGCTATATTTATGTTGTTTTAATCTTTGTTCGAGATTTTTACCAGTTTGACCGTAATAAACTATCGCAAATTTTACAAGGAATCTTGCAGACACAAACATATAAATATATGCAACTCCTTTAATTTGAATTATTATTTACTGCTATGACCATATTTTTTAAAAGGGTGGACCGGTAAGCCAGCTGAAGGCCTTCGTCTGATGACCAAAAGCTCCGGCTGCTGGTCACTTGTCCTGTTTCCTAACAAACATTATACCTACCCAATTGGGATTAAATATCCAAAGCAACTTCAATAGAAAATAGAGCATCCTTTTGTTAAACATACATATCTGTGGCTTACCCAGAATAGTAAAGGCGGTGGAAGCAAGGCCAGCCATGTATGCAAGTCTCATATTGAACCTCGACCAGTCAGAGAGTACTGAGATCAGCGTCCTGGCTACGAGATGGCAGACTCCTGACACTGATATGCACCACGCAGAGTCCTGCAGTGTGCGTCCACTTGCTTGCATAGCGAAGGGAACCATCATTAAGAAGTTGTAGTAACCATTAAGGAAGAACGTGCACCCGAAGGATATTATAACTGCTCGTGGTGAGCGGAAGATTTTCAAGTTATTAATTGTGTTCCGAGCCACTGACAGTATGAGTGTTGCGAACCCTACTTGCTCACTCCTGTTTCTTCTTACTCTTTCTTTCGCAGACTGACTCACAGGGGCACTGAGAGCTGGTTTACACAACGAGGATAATGAAAGCGTCACACTCTCTGTGTGTGAGGCCTTGAGGCACTCACTGGATTGGTAAGTGCCATCCTCTCTCAATGTTCTCACACGACACAAGGATTCTGACCATCCTGGTTCCTTCTCACCGTTAGCAATCAAGAAATACTTCTTGGAGGTTTCATCTGCTACATCCCCGTCGTTTAACGAATTGACATTTACTTTTGGCAACAAGGGATCGTTCCTCGCTGGCTTCATGTGCCATTCAACTGGATGGTAAAACGCAGCACCCACGAGTCCATTGAGCATGATGGCGCCCAGGATGAGAGTGGCGCCCTTGTAAGTGTACTGCTCCTGCAGCAGGCGCACGAAGGGAGGACCCACGATCTGCCCCGTGCACACCCCAGCCATCATTATAGCGTTAGCAAGCCCTCGTCTACGATCGAAGTACATAGGTACCAGGATGAAGGACATACACACCGCCAAGCCTCCACCTAGTCCTGCAAAATTATAAATTCGTGTCAATACAACATTTGTACTAGCACCTGGTCACAGACCGAGCAAAGGAGGCTTTCATCCCCGAAACCCTCTCCAGGTATATTCCAGGTATACCAAAGTACCGCCTAACTCAATAAAATGCCGTAAACCACATATTGTGTCCTATTAACAGAGGTACTGTAGCTACCTCGTGTATCATAATCTATGTATATCTAGTAACTGCACCTGAAAAACTCAATTGGCGGAGGAGCTACAGCTCAACTCTTTCAAAAGACCTTCGAGCTATTACTTAACCCTCTCCTTCCTCCTCCCCAAACAGTCCAGGAGATGGAATTCAACACCCTCAAGGGGACAAGGACTTGTAGCTGAACACTAAAGCTTGAAGATTGAGACACCTTGTTCAACATTTGGGAATCTTTATTGAGGAAACGTGGCCAACCAGTGGCTTCTTTATTTATTTATTTATTTAGTAATTTAAGCATACATACAGAGGTACAAAAAATACAGGTAAGAGCAGCATGCCAAAGCCACTTATATGCATAGCATTACGGGCTGGCTTAAAATTAACTTTAAGATTAACTAAGCAATGATGAAATCAGTGAAAAACATTATTGTAAAAAGATAACTATAAAGCACAAATGAGTATTACAAAGAAAAGGTATATGGTTGCATGCATTGTTTTTTACATTCAGTAGAATGGAGTATTTGTTAGGTTTGTGTATTTAAAAAAATAACAAAGTTAGATTGGGTCCTAGGTTTAACATTTGTGTGATATAATTGTGAGTACATTTAGGATATACAATTTATAAGGTCAGTTATTCAGTATTTATTTGGTTTTGGGTGAGTAAGTGATCTTTGAGAAGAGACTTGAATTTATAAACAGGTAGTGTTTCTTTTATAAATTTACAGGTAATGATTCCAGATTTTAGGGCCTTTTATGTGCATTGAGTTTTTGCATAGTGTGAGATGGACACGAGGAACATCAAAGAGTGATCTGTGCCTTGTGTTATGTCATGTGTTCTGTTGAGGTTGGCAAAGGGGATGTTTGAGGGGAGGGTTAATATCAGAGTTAAGTGTTCTATGTATGTAATAGGTGCAGCAATAAGTATGGATGTTTTGTATGGTGAGTAGTTTAGAGTTTTGAATATTGGTGGAGTGTGCTGCCTGTAGTGGGAATTTGTTATCATTCTAACTGTAGCCTTTTGTTGGGTAATTAGTGGTCTGAGATGGTTTTTTGTTGTTGAGCCCCATGCACAAATTCCATAGGGGAGATAGGGGTAAATAAGAGAGTGATATAGGGCCATGAGGGCTGACTGTGGAACATAGTACCGTATTCGATAGTATGCCTACAGTCTTGGAAATTTTCTTAGAAATTTGATGTATATGTGTATGAAATTTGAGTTATTATCAAAAGGGGGATTCCTAAAAATTTTTCCTCTGTTAGCTTTGTGATAGGTGATCCGTTTACATTATGTTAAGAGGGCATCTGTAGCTTGTTACCAAACTGAATGAAGTAGGTTTTGTCAATTTTTTAGTGTAATTTGTTAGTCCTCATCCAGGTAGATATTTTCTGTAATTCGGTATTTACAGTATTGGCTAGCGTGACTTGGGGTCGAGTGAGAGAAGATGTATGTAGTGTCATCTGCAAAAAGTGTGGGTTTGGTAATTGCGAAGCATTTGTAGGTCATTTATGTATAGGAGAAAGAGAAAGGGCCAAGGACACTTCCCTGTGGGACACCAACTGTAATTGGTTGTGCGGAAGAGCTTGCCCCATTTGCATACACATATTGGCTTCTGTTGCTGAGGTAAGACTTGAGGTAGTTGAGGGAGTGCCCTCTTATACCATAGTGTGACAATTTTACGTGGAGCAAGTCATGGTCAACTGTATCAAAAGCTTTACGTAAGTCAATGAAGATCCCCAGAGGGACTTCTTTTTTCTCTATTGCAGTGTATATATGTTCTAGCATGTGTATAATAGCATCATTAGTATTTTTATTAGGCCTGAATCCAAATTGACAGGGGTTGAGAATGTTTTGGGAGATAAGGTAGGAGTAGATTCGTTTATGAATTAATTTTTCGAAGATTTTTGAGAGAGGGTATAAATTGGATATTGGCCTATAGTTATTCAACTCTGTTTGGTCTCCTCCTTTATGGATCGGGGTGACCCTTGCTATTTTGAGAACTGTAGGGAAGGTGGAGGATTCAATGGATTTGTTAAAGTGTTGCAATGATTGGTGATAGTACTTGTGACACTTTTTTATATATAAAGGGTGGTAAGGTATTTAAATCTCCTGCCTTGTTTTTTAGTGCGTTGATAATAAGGGAGACTTCGTATGGGTTAGTCGGAGCTAGGAACAGTGTGTTCGGGTAGTTGCCAGTGAGGTAGTCATTTGGTGGGGTATCTGAGCTTGGGATTTTATTGGCAAGGTTTTGTCCTATAGTGGAGAAGAAATCATTGAGTTCTGTTTGCTGTTTCTGTTGGTGGGAGTTGGGGTTCATCTGATTTTGCTAATTTTATTTCGCTATTTCGTGATATCTTTTTTGTTCCCAGAATTTCTGATAGGGTTTTCCAGGTCTTTTCTATATCACCTCGTAAGTTGGATAATCTGTTCTCATAATACAATTTTTTTGCCCTTCTTATCAGGCTGGTTAGGATTGACGGAGTAACGTTTTGTTTGGTCTCTGGTTATGTGACCCATTCTGTACTGTTTTTCATATCGGTGTTTTGTATTTATGGATTTGAGAATGCTGGGTGTTAGCCAGGGACTGTTCAGTCTCTTAGCTGTCATCTGTTTAGTTTTTTTAGGGCAGTGCTTGTTATAGAGGTATTGGGTCTTTTTTAGAAAATTATTAAAACATTTGTCAATATCTGTATAGATTTCTAGCTCAATGTGCCAGTCAATGTTTGTTACTGCTGTTGTGAAGTTATTAATGGCTGCCTCATTGTGAAGTCTGAAGGTGACTTTAGTAGTGTCTTGGGGTATTTTACCAAGAGTTGTTATGAGGAAAGTAGGGTAGTGGTCTGTGGTATTATCTGTGATTATGCCTGATTTTAAAGGGGATATGGTGTTGGTCCAGATGTGGTCAAGTAGGGAAACACTAGTCTCTGTAACTCTTGTAGGTTTTGTTACTGTTGGTAGCAACATGCAGTTACTCATTGTGTTTGTGATTTCAGTAACGTGTGGGTCCTGGTCTTGCAGGAGATTTATATTGAAGTCACCTGAGAGTAGTAAGTGATCTTTGTTCATGCGTGCATCAGTTATCATACTTCCTAGGTTGTGACTAAATTGGCTAATGTTTGATTGTGGAACTCTGTAGAGAAAAACAAAGGAAGATGAAGAGGAGTGTGTTATTCTCTGTACTGGACTCAAGAAGCCACTGGCTTCATAGGAGATTCGAACCATTAATTACTTAATGGTCCGAGTCGGGCCGAAATGTTGTCATAATTTTCATTCTTTTATGTGAGGGATATTTGTGTACTGGACGAGAAAAATGTAAACCGAGCGTGAAGTAGGTGGCACTTTTACCACTGAGTAAAGTCAGGGAGGAGAACTTACCACTATGTAACAAGAAGGAAAAGAACTTACCACTGTGTAACAAGGAGAAGCACTTACCACTGAGTAACGAAAAGGAGAAGAACAAGAACACTGGTGAGGGAGCGAAGGCGGACATGATAACAGAGGCTGAGGTGAGGAGGATTCCCTGGAAGGCAATATTCCTCCAGCCAAACTCCTTCACCAGCGGCCTGACAATAAGCCCCATCATGTTCCAGATGAAGCACTGGACGTTGAAGATCCAGGCTGTAGTAGCTGACGAGCTCCCGGCCTCAAGCAGGTAACTGGAGAAGAGTACACCGAAGCAAGGACCCAGTAGAGGCACCAGCAACTGGAAAACAAACTTTTTCTTTTACACAGTTCATCTTAGCTCACTTCATAGCCCAATCCTGGCCAGACTACCACTACCTAGCTCATTCCCAGGTACGCAGAGATGCATGAACAAGCCTCCATACATCAATCACCTACGGATTACCTAATAGTAAATAGGTATCTGAATGTTTGGGATTGTAAGTCGTATCACAGGATTAAAAGAATTCCAGTGGCAACATGGGAAACTGGGTGTTAGTAAACTGGGTGTTAGTAAACCTTCGGATAAATAACCTGTACTAGTAGTATCCGAAGATTCTACCGACGTCTACTAGCACCCACTTTCCTGTTTAATGCTACGTGGAAAGGCTCAGCAGGATGTACACTGACTAGGAATCTAGCCCGATGCCATAATATTTATTGTCAAGTGAATACCATAGAACTAAGAGAGACTAAAAAGGCACAATACCGTGACTGGAACAATACACAAATAACCCGCACTTACAAGAGAGACAAACATATGAAGACGTTTCGGTCAGTTTTGGACCATTAACAAGTCCAATATAGACCGAAAGGTCATCTAAAGGTTCAACAATGTGCAGGTTATTGGTGAATGGTTCGCCAATCTTGTCTACAATGAAAGAAAATTTTCACTTGTGTTTGTCAGCACAGAGTAGCAAAGACAATGATTGTATAGGACGATTTATTAGTAGAGTGATTGTAGTCATTATTAGTAGAGTGACTGCAACGTCCAGATGTCCCCAGCAGCGTTCAGGAGTCCTCAGCAGCGTCCAGATGTCCCCATCAGGGTCCAGATGTCCCCAGCAGCGTCCAGGTGTCCTCAACAGTATACAGGTATCTCCATCATCGTCCAGATATCCCCTAGCAGCTTCTAGGTGTCCCCAGCAGCGTTCAGGAGTCCTCAGCAGCGTCCAGATGTCCCCATCAGCGTCCAGATGTTCCCAACAGCGTCTAAGTATCCCCCAGCAGCGTCAAGGCGTCCCCAGTAGCGTCCAGGTGTCCCCCAGTAACGTCTAGGTATACTCCAGCAGCGTCCAGGTGTCCCCAACAGCATCCAGGTGTCCCCAACAACGTCCAGGTGTCCCCAGCAATGTCCAGGTGCCCCCAGCAGCGTCCAGGTGTCCCCCAGCAGCGTCCAGGTGTCCCTCAGCAGCGTCCAGGTGTCCCCAGCAACGTCCAGGTGCCCCCAGCAGAGTCCAGGTATCCCCCAGCATCGTCCATGTGTCCCCCAACAACGTCTAGGTGTTCGTCCTGCAGGTTCATACAGGATGTTACTCACCGTGATGATAAAACTGCCAAAAACTACCAACCACCCCCAGCCTCCGTCAGGTACTCGCGCCGCGCCTCCTTCACCCTCGTTATCACACTCCACATTTCCCATCAAAGCCTTGGCCTCACTTTTCAAAGTGTCTTCCAGGGAAGTTTTCCCGGTTTCGTGAGAACTCTTCCCGGTTTCCCCACCACTTTTTCGCCCCTCCTGGTTGCTTTTTACAGTCATTTCAACATCATTTAGAATAATGTTGGTATTGTCTACTGGATCATGTACTCCTAATCCGTCCCACGCCGCCATTCCAGTGCCAGAGATATCGCTGGTATCCAGGTCCTGCTGGACATCTCTTGAAGCCTCGCCTGTCATGTCCGGTTGAAAGAGCAGAATTCCTTCCGTCTGTTTTTCCTCCTTGAGGATTATTATTAACCAGATATTGCAAGAAGGCAAACAGTGTTGGTTAATTCCTCGTAGATCCTTAAAACGTCTTTCCCAGGATGCAGCCCACAACAGTAGACTAACATGTACGTTTTTGTTTACTGCTGAGTGAATAGGGGTAGCAGATATAAGGGGACTTTCCCAAACGTTTCTCCAGGACCAGAATGCCGCCCATGAGAGTTGAATATGTTCTTGGTATGTATTTTCTGCTAGATGAGCAGGTGTAGCACGTGTAAGAACACTTGGCCAAGAGCATCATGGCTTCCAGGTTCTCTCTGTGATGTTATTCCCAAATGGTAGAAATTTATTTTCTGTTGGTTTAATGATTAGGTCTCCAACCCTCTTATCTTCTCGGGAAACTCTCTCATCTTTTATATCTCACGACACACAGGATGCTCTTTTTTCATGGCCTCGGTTCAGTAACCAAATAAACAGATGTTTTCTGCTGCAGCTGCCCTCAGAACACCTGCAAATTAAAAAAAAAAATTATTTTGGGTGGAAAATACCGAAACTGAAACACTTCACAACTAACTAACAAATTCAAAATGAAATTTGGGAAGGGGTTCAGTTTCCTGTACAACTTCAGCCCGTCTTGACAAGGTTCAGTTGGGAGCTGAACCTCTTCAGAAATTCACCTTCGTTTTTTTTTTTTTCCTTCTCTTGTGAGAGAGATAAATAACATCCAAATAAAAGATCAGAATATATATCAATGATAGTGTTTTGTTTTCCAGGGAAAATAGAATTTTTGACATAGCCCTTAATTTTGAAAAAGCCATCGACAACATGGCCATGCACTCTGCCCCAGGCCCAGATTCATGGAACTCCGTGTTCGTAATGAATTGCAAGAAACCCCCCCATCATGTGCCTTAAATATTCAGTGGAGAGGAAACCCAGAGGCCTGGCTGGCGAAGCTCTCGTTTCACACACGGAGGGCCCGGGTACGATTCCCGGCTGGGTGGAAACATTTCGACGCGTTTCCTTACACCTGTTGTCCTGTTCACCTAGCAGCAAATAGGTACCTGGGTGTTAGTCGACTGGTGTGGTCGCATCCTGGGGGACAAGATTGAGGACCCCAATTTAAATAAGACAGACAATCCTCGACGACGCACTGACTTTCATGGGTTATCCCGGGTGGCTAACCCACCGGGGTTAAAAATCCGAACGAAATCTTATCTTAACCTAGACACAGGAGTCACCCTACAGTCTTAAAACAACAGATATAGCCCCACTCCACAAAGGCGACAGCAAAGTACAGTACACTGATAAGCACTAACCTCCAACACTGCAAAATCTTTGAAAGGGTTTTACGAAACAAAATTTCCACCCCCATGAATTAACAATAATTGCACAACTCAGGGCAGCACGGGTTTAGAGCAGGTCGCTCCTGCCTCTCACAACTACCGCACCATCGTGACACGATCTTGGATGCACTGCAAGATAAATAACACGCAGATGTACACAGTGACGTTGCAGAAGCCTTCGACAAGTACAAATATGGTTTAACAGCATAAAAACGTGTGCAACAGGATTAAGTGGAAAAGTGGGAAGGTTGATTTTCAACTTTCTAATAAATAGAACACAAAGAGTAATAATAAACGGAGTTATGAGGGTGTCAAGGTGAAAACTGTGCTCCCCAAGGCACAGTACTCGGCCCCATCCTGTTCCTTATCCTCATATTTGATACAGATACATAAATCACAGCACTGTATCATCCTTTGCAAAGGATATTAGAATGTGCATCAGAGTGACATTCACTGAGGACAGTAAATCTCCAAGCTGATATACACAAAGTCTTCCAGTGGGACCAAGAAAATATTATTATTTTCAGTGAAGGCAAATTTCAGTTCCTCCGATATAGAAAACTTGAGGAAATAAATGCTAGAATGGAGTATAAAACTAATTCTAGCCACTAACGTGAAGGACTTAACCATAGCACGGGTGGGGTTTGAACCCGCGATCAGAGAGTCTCAAAACTCCAGACCGACTCCAAACCATAGCACCCGTGGTATGGTTTGTTTGCAATCATATCATTACGATTTCGTGAGTCGTGACGGACTTAGTAGTGATAATGTCAGAGGATCTCACTGTCAAGGACCACAACAGTGTTATTGTCACGACTCTGAAGAAAATGATAAAAGGGATAATGAGAACTTTCTAAGCAAATGATGTCAGGCCAATAAAAGGCTTTAAAGTGAGCTGATGTCAGTAACAGCTCTTAGCTTATAAATAAAGTTAAGAACCCTACATCTAACCTTGTAATACCCTGTGTAAAAGAGAGAGAGAGAGAGAGAGAGAGAGAGAGAGAGAGAGAGAGAGAGAGAGAGAGAGAGAGAGAGAGAGAGAGAGAGAGAGAGAGAGAGAGAGAGAGAAGGAATGGAAGATAATGCAAAATGCCTCACTAACAAGCTAGTTGTACAACAAACACTTAAAAATAAATCAGTTACTGAAAATGGTCAATATAAACACCTTTATTCAACTATAAGGGAAATTACCAAGAAATATCTATCTTCGAGAGGAAATATAATAACTTCAAATCATTTCTGATCAGCCAGATTATGAACGATGTGCAGCTGCATGTCCAGAGGTAACACTTGTATGGTAGCAGTAATGGTCTAAAATATTGACCAGCTAAATAAAGCACAAGCGCTACACCTGGGTATCTATTGTGAAGACGTTTCGCCCACCATTGACTTCATCACATCAGTATAGTGGTATTTGGAGGTGTTCAAACTGGTGACAGTAGAAGCCGAGGTAGTCAGTCCCTCAGCCTTGACGGAGGTGGTCACCAACGTAGCCTTGATATGGCCGTTTATATACTGGTCATATGGCCGTTTATATACTGGTCATATGGCCGTTTATATACTGGTCATATGGCCGTTTATATACTGGTCATATGGCCGTTTATATACTGGTTATATGGCCGTTTATATACTGTATACTGGTCATATGGCCGTTTATATACTGGTCATATGGCCGTTTATATACTGGTCATATGGCCGTTTATATACTGGTCATATGGCCGTTTATATACTGGTCATATGGCCGTTTATATACTGGTCATATGGCCGTTTATATACTGGTCATATGGCCGTTTATATACTGGTCATATGGCCGTTTATATACTGGTCATATGGCCGTTTATATACTGGTCATTATAACAAGGATACCCAGGTGTTGATCATATGTCGTGGTTATGTTATTATACCTCCTTCCTTCCCTCTCTTCCTCCCTCTCACCCTACCTCCCTGTCTACCCTGCCTTCCTGTCTACCTTGCCTCCCTCTCTCCCCAGCTTCCCTCTTACCCTGCCTTCCTCTCTCCCCAGCTTCCCTCTCACCGTGCCTCCCTCTCTCCCCAGCTTCCCTCTCACCCTGCCTCCCTCTTACCCTGCCTCCCTCTCACCTTGCCTCCCTGTCTACCCTACCTCCCTCTCTCCCCAGCTTCCCTCTTACCCTGCCTCCCTCTCACCCTGCCTCCCTCTTACCCTGCCTCCTCTCTACCCACTTCCCTCTCACCCTGCCTCCCTCTCTACCCTGCCTCCCTCTCTACCCTGCCTCCCTCTCAGCCTGCCTCCCTCTTACCCTGCCTCCCTCTCTCCACAGCTTCCCTCTCACCCTGCCTCCCTCTCTACCCTGCCTCCCTCTCTACCCTGCCTCCCTCTCACCCTGCCTCCCTCTTACCCTGCCTCCCTCTCCCCAACTTCCCTCTTACCCTGTCTCCCCAGCTTCCCTCTCACCCTGCCTTCTCTCTCCCCAGCTTCCCTCTCCCCCAGCTTCCCTCTCACCCTGCCTCCCTCTCACCCTGCCTCCCTCTCTACCTTGCCTCCCTCTCTCCCCAGCTTCCCTCTCACCCTGCCTCCCTCTCACCCTGCCTCCCTCTCACCCTGCCTCCCTCTCACCCTGCCTCCCTCTCACCCTGCCTCCCTCTCTACCTTGCCTCCCTCTCTCCCCAGCTTCCCTCTCACCCAGCTTCCCTCTCACCCTGCCTCCCTCTCACCCTGCCTCCCACTCTACCCTCACACCATCATGGTCATGTTAACCCATCATTCACGTCTTCTCCCTCAGTCAACACGAGTCATTTTTCTTCGCTTATTCCTCATCTCTCTCATCCTTACAACACTTCTCTCCTTCAAGTGGTGAGCCAGCCAGAGCATCGCGTGTGTCAGATGTTAGTGGCCGGAGGTCCGAGCCTATACCTCAAATTCGATTGGATTCTGACCAATAACTAAAGAATGCATTTACTGGTTGGCTTTAAACTCTTAGTGTTGATACGTTTTTCTCAAACAAAACTTCAGCTTGATTAAACGGTAAGTTTAATGTACCAGTTTTAATGATCAAATTGATTCCTCTCAAAGAGCTGGAGATCTCCTCTGAGCAGACGTAAGTCACTGTTTGACTTCATTAGTTTATCATAATAATAATAATAATAATAATAATAATAATAATAATAATAATAATAATAATAATAATAATAATAATAATAATAATAATATCTCTGATCGCGGGTTCAAATCCCGCCCGTGGTATGGTTTGTTTGCAATCGTGTCATTACGATTTCGTGAGTCATATAGAAAGCCGCTTGTTATGCTGAGCAGTTCCTGTAAATAAGGTCAGTTTTGTCCCAGGATGCGACCCACACCAGTCCACTAACACCCAGGATGCGACCCACACCAGTCCACTAACACCCAGGATGCGACCCACACCAGTCCACTAACACCCAGGATGTGACCCATACCAGTCCACTAACACCCAGGATGCGACCCACACCAGTCCACTAACACCCAGGATGCGACCCACACCAGTCCACTAACACCCAGGATGTGACCCATACCAGTCCACTAACACCCAGGTACCTGTTTTAAATTGATGGGTGAACATAGACAACCGGTGTAAGGAAATTTGTCCGATGTTTCTACCCTCGCTCGGAATCGAACCCGGACACTCACCCTAGGTTAAATATGCATTATATGCTTCATATGCACATAACTGTGTACCTTTTCAGACCATTGGAAAACAAGTGTATCATACGTAGCCAAAGCTTAAATAAATTTTAAATATTTACACATATAAAGAACAGAAAGGCATGATAAGGACCTGCCTTGTATGCGCCAGTAGGGCTTCTGCAGTGTTCTTCCATTCTTACGTTCTTGTTCTTATAATGCCGTGACTGGAACACTACACAAATAACCCGCAATTACGAGAGAGAACCTTACGACGACGTTTGGGTCCTATTTGAACCATTTACTAGTCACACTAACACACGAAGATTTGTTTGAATGATTCTTCAGGAACTGTGTTCAGATGGGTCATCTGAAGATCTGAAAGATGTCGATCTAATTCAGCCGTTATGTGGCCACGATCAGAGTCTTGTTATAGACCCTGTGCGCCCCACGACCAAACAACCTATGTACAACAACGGGCTGAGGCCATCAAGCTCCCATCATTGTCTCTGGGCCCTGTGCTGGATG